AACGCAGGAATGTGATTCCTGCTTGAAGCTCCTCTTAATGGAGTCGGCTTTACAACTGCCAGTGCCGGAAGCGGCACCGGGTGCTCACAGCGCACCGGCATCCATTAGAGAGGTATCGGGGGCACCGAGGCAAATGGTGCCAGTGAGACCAACAACATCAAGGCACCGATCCTAATTGCTGGTGCATTTGAAGAAGTACAGGGGAAGGTCACCGGCACGACATGGCCTGCAGGTGCACCACAAGGATTGACACCAGGCTGAGACCTCCCAACATGACATTCCCAAGCCACGTAAATGGCACTGGTTGAGCACGAAGCATACAGGAGGCCTCACGTCTGAAACTGAGATCGAGGAGATCCTCCAACCACTGACGCCGAAGGCCTTCGATGTTGCACGGGAGCTAATAGAGCATCAGGACTGACACAGGCTGGGGAGGACAGTTGGCAGTCCCCCTTACAGGTACCAGAACCAACCGTGCCATCTGAGCAGCCACGGGTAACCCCGAGCTCGGTACCGACACCAATGTTGGGCCCAATTTCAACTCCCCTTATGGTGCCACACCTTCCTCCAGCAATGGCTATGGTATCAGGCCCTAGGGTACCGACACTAGTGGTACCAGCATCTGTGGTACAGACTCTGGCCCTGATAGCGGCACCAACCCTTCCACCAATACCAGCACCTGTGCCATGTATAACACCGGCACCGCAGATGATATCGGCATTGCAGATGATACTACCGGTGTACCTCTTGCCGACACTTCAACCAGTACCGCCCTTACCGGCACCGGGAGCTGCTCCTACTTGGGCACCGATGGCGGGCCTGTTGACTGCAGCACCAATGATGGTGGGGATGTCAGGGCCCACAACCCAACAGACGTTCGCCCATGAACTGCCAACGATGCTGCCCCCAGCACCGCCACAACGGGCCAATACCACATCCTAAGGGGAAGCCTGCAGCGATGGCAAGGCACACGTCTTCCCACTGTTCCCTGGCACAGTCTTTGGCATCATCATGGTCGGCTTCCGAATACTCATCGGAGTCGGAAACGGAGTCGGTGCACTCAGAAGGGTCTTCAGCGGGGTCAAGATCTCAACACCGATACCAGTCACCCTACTGGTCACGCCATTACAGTTCGATGCCTTCCCAGCCCCACTTGCAACAGTGGCCACCGCAACAATAGCCCTTCTGGACCCCTGGGCATACCACCAAGCCCAGAGGCCACCACAAGCTAAGTACTCATCAGTGACCTCCCACTCCAGGGGTACTCCTTCTGCCACTCCCCTAACCAGGCCGCCAGCTTTGGACATGGTCCCTCAGCGCTAGGGTGAGGTGGCTGGACTGGCTGTATGCCAACAGATGGCTCCTCCAGCCCCACCACCGACAGCAGTAGAGCCCCAGCAGGTGCTCCCCCCTCAAGGGGAATCCTCCTCATCCTCACCTGATGAGGCCCTGGCTGATCCAGCGCCTTCAATGCCAGTTATGGATGCTAGGGTACACCAAGATCTACTTCATCGACAGGCGACGAACTTGAAGGTGCAGGTGGAGGAGGTAACAAAGGACCTGGACCCTATGGTAGACATCTTGACAGCAGATACTCTGGCCAAGGTGGCATTACTGCTGAATAAGACAGTGTCCAGGTTGGCAAAGACATTACGTCATGGGGAGGTGATATTTTGTACCTCAGTCGGAACACGAACATCTCTACTACCACCCAGTCCCGGGCTCGTTGGTGGTCCAAGCAGCAGGGCAGAAGAAGAGACAGGGTCCTCCAGGACCCAAGCCTAAGAGACGGGAGCCCAAAAAGCTTGACTTGTTGGGCAGAAAGGCCTACGCAATGGGGAGGCTTCTGCTGCATATAGCCAATCTGACTCACACTTACATAGCCTCAAAGAATCTAGGGCTACCCTCAAATCTCTGAGGATCCACACCCCGGCTCCACAACGTAGGCCCTTGCCAACTAGGACTTCCCAGAGACCATTCCAACAGACCTTTAAATCTGATCAAGGTAGAAGGAGAGGGTGAAATTTCAACAACAATATGAACAAGAATAGACGTAGAAGATCCAGATCAGATCCAGAAAGAGGATCCACCCAGACCCTAACCAGCAGCCTAAGGCATCCTTTTGAAGGTTCACTCAAGGACTGCGTCCCAGCCTCCACTTTAATTCTACCCTTTGGGTTCCGGCTCTCCCATTTCTCCCAGGCCTGGCACAAAATTACTTCGGATTGCTGGTGCTAGACCTGGTAGAAAAGGGATGTATCATCCCTTTCCTGTCCCACCCACATATACCCCCCCATCCCTCTTCAGGGACCCCTCTCACACGATTCTCCTAGAGAAAGAGGTGTCAGCCTAACTGGCATTGGGGGCTGTAGAGTTTCTGGGCAAGGGGTTCTACTCAAGATATTTCCTAATTCCCAAATCCAAGGGGGGGGGGGGAGCTTCGCCCCATTCTAGATCTAAGGAATATGAACTCCTTTGTGAGGAACGTTAGGTTCAGAATGGTGACCCTAGCCTCTATCATCCTATCCCTAGAAAAAGAAGGCTGGTACGCTGCCCTTGACTTGAAGGACACATATTTCCACATTTCTATTATATTGGCTCACAGGAAATTTCTTCAATTCCTGGGTGGCGACAGTCACTTTCAGTTCACAGTCCTACCCTTTGATCTCTCTACCACCCCGAGTGTATTCACCAAATGCATGGTGGCTGTGGCTGCATTCCTCTGGCATAAAGAATTCAAGTCTTCCCCTGTCTAAACGATTGGCTGATCAGGGGATCATCCAAGGGTCAGGTCATGGCTCACATAGAATTTATAAAGGACCTATTTGACAAGCTTGGTCTCCTCATAAATGAGAAGAAATCCACTCTTACCCCCACACAAAAGTTGGCCTTCATCGGGGTGCACTTGGATGCCACAATAGCGAGGGAGTCCCTCCCAAGAGCCAGGTTCATGACCATCAGAGCATCACCACTCACAACAGCCCACACCTGTATGAGACTTTTGGGCCATATGGCAACATGTACCTGCGTGGTCCAGCATTCCAGGCTACATTTACAGCACCTCCAAGAGTGGCTAACCTCAGGCACACTCGACCCGTGTGCCCTTGGACGAGCTCCTTATGATTCCAGAAGCTGTTCTCCATTCGCTAAATTGGTGGCTCCAGGAAGATGTGGTGTGTTATGGAGTTCTGTTCACCAGGCAGATCCCATCAGCACGACTAGTAATGGATGCATCGGATGCTGGATGGGGAGCCCATCTAGCAAACCTCGGGACCCAAGGTATGTATGTGGTCACCACGCAAATACTGGTTACACATAAATGTCAAGGAACTCAGGGCAGTCAGACTGGTCTGTCTGGCTTTCCTGCCCCAGTTGGAGGGCAAGGTGGTGTTGGTATTGACAGACACCACACAGCTATGCATTGTATCAACAAACAGGGTGGAGCTTGCTCCTCTCCCCTGTGCCAGGAAGCCCTCCAGCTGTGGGACCTGTGCATAGCACACCATATTCACCTGGAGGTCTCCTACCTCTCTGGGAATCTAAACGTGCTGGCAGACAAGCTCAGCAGATCATCCAGAACTCACAAATAGTCTATCAGGGAGGGTATCGTACAGACCATCTTCCAGAGATGGGGACATCCCCTCCTCGACCTGTTCACCTCCCAGAAGAACTACAAGTGCCTGAGCTATTGCTCGTTCCTGGGCCTGGGGAAGGAGTCAATAGGAAATGCCATGGTGCTGCAGTGGCCCAAGGATCTCCTGTATGCGTTCTCCCCATTTTCCCTGACACATGGAGTTCTCCTGCTGGTCAGGAGGTGGGCAGCATCAGTCATCCTGATAGCAATGACTGATACCCTCAGCGTGGCCGCTTCAACACTACTATTCCATGCTCCTGGACTTGGCAGTAGAAGCACCCCTCATACTGCCGCTGTTTCCGGACCTGATATCTAAGGACCTAGAAGAGAGGAGGCTGTGCCACCCAAACATTCCTTCCCTCCATCTGGCAGCTTGGAATCTTCATGGCTAGAGGGGCAGGAGAGTATGTGTTCGGAGGGGGTGAGAAAAGTTCTGATAGAGAGCAGGAAGCCCTTGACTAGGGCGACTTATGAGGCCAAATGAAGATGTTTTTCCCATTGGGCGAGCACCACAGGGGTAGATCCTCATGGAGCCCCTATTCCAGACTATCTTCTACACCTCCACTTACAGGGCTTGTCAAAATCAACATTGCAAGTTCACCTAGCTGCTATAACAGCCTTCCATCTGGGGGAAGGGGGTACCTCAGTTTTCGTGCATCCTATGGTTAAATGCTTCCTCAAGGGGGTAGACAGACTGTATCCGCATGTGAGGCAACCGTTACCCCCTGGGACCTTAACTCGGTCCTCACGAGGCTCATGAGTCCGCCTTTTGAACCTATAGCTACCTGCTCCTTGAAGCACTTATCACGCTTCCAAGTTTTTTTTAGTGACCATCACGTCAGCCAGGAGGGTATCTGAACTGAGGCCCTCACTTCTAAGCCCCCTTAGAAGTATTTTTTAAGGACAGGGTTAGACTTAGACTTCACCTGTCGTTTCTTCCCAAGGTGATCATATATTTTCATGTCACAGGATATCTATCTTCCATTTGCTCATGTCCAGTTTTCTGCCCCAAACAGAGCAGTCCCTGGATGTGAGGGCACTAGTGTTTTATATTGATAGGACAAGAGAGTTTAGGAGATCACCACAGCTCTTTATTTCTATAGCAGAAAGAATGAAGGGCTTGCCTGTGTCAGCACAGTGCTTGTCCAAATGGATCACCTCCTGCATTAGGGCCTGTTATAAGAGCACAGGTCGGGAGCCACGGCCACTTATGGCTCATTCCACAACAGCCCAGGCCTTGTCAACCGCCTTTGGGGCACGTCCCTATTGTAGACATTTGCAGAGCAGCTACGTGGTCCTCTATTCATACTTTTACAGCCAGCCCACTATGCTTTACTGGGGCTGTGTCATAAGTCTGCAGCAAGATTTTAATCAACATCTTACCAAGAATGTTTAAGAAAAATAGTGGAATGGCTTTTTAAGCTCTTTTGTATCAAGATTCCACCTGTTTAATCAGCCTTTGTGTTGTTGGGCTTAGGTGCCCTATTCTGATGCTGACAATTGCTGAATGACAGAGTGCAGCATTTTTATCATGCCTTCTGAAAAAGGCTCATCCAGGTAGATAAGTTAACTATTATTCTTCAAATGTGTTGCTCATGTCCATTCCACGTCCCACCCGTGTCACAGAGCAGAAACAAAAATGCTTTGCTGTCCTTCAGTGAGGCAAGCAAGCAGGGAAATCTGAGAACTGGATGGCTGGGGGAGGTCCTGTTAGCACAAGGTATTTCTATTCAGATCCAAAACTTCTCTCAGTAATATCCAGTGACCCAAAGCTATAGACCTGTATGCAGATTCAAAATGGTATCCACATCTACATACGTGGATGCCTATGCTGGGGTCTAGATACAAAATTTATATTTGTATCCACAAAAATGAGCCACAAATCTTTGCATCCAAAGATATCTGTGGGACTCTATAAAGTGGCTGTGTCTAGACTGGCAAGTTTTTCCACAAAAGCAGCTGCTTTTGCGGAAAAACTTGCCAGCTGTCTACAATGGCCACTTGAATTTCCACAAGAACACTGACTTCCTACTATCTGAAATCAGTGCTTCTTGTGGAAACACTAGGCTGCTCCCCTTTGGGCAAAAGTCCATTTTGCGCAAAGCTTTTGCACAAAAGGGCCAGTGTAGACAGCTCAGATTTGTTTTGCGCAAAAAAGCCCCGATTGCAAAAATGGCAATCGGGGCTTTTTTGCGGAAAAGTGCATCTAGATTAGTACAGATGCTTTTCTGCAAAAAGTGCTTTTGCGGAAAAGCGTCCGTGCCAACCTAGACGCTCTTTTCCGCAAATGCTTTTCACGGAAAACTTTTCCGTGAAAAGCATTTGCGGAAAATCATGCCATCTAGTTTGATAAGGAGTCAAACCATTTTAACAACACAGCTTAGAAACAAGAATATCTTTTCCTCTATAGTATAATCTGCACAGGTCATCTGAAGCATCTTGTAGAAATATCAGATAGCTAATGCTGACTAAAATAAACATCCAGTTTCTCCAAGCACTTTAAGATGTTTTTTAATCTTACAGGTTCTGCTTCCTACACTAATTTGCACTCTGGTGTTAGAAGATAATAGCCTTTCAACTCCTCCATCTCTGGTAATGATGAATGAACTGCCTTTTTGTAAATCTGTGCTCTTTCTGTGCTTTTGTATAATGTGTACATTGTGGGACCAACATGAACACAGCTGTACAATTGTACACAGTTCTCTTGCTGACACCACCACAGACTGGAATTTCTGTATATAGGCACTTTGTGTTCACTCAATTATTAAATTACGTGTATATTTGTGGAATGCTAATTTAAATGATTAAGTTATAAAAAAGTGTGTATTTATCTCATGCCATGCAAGGAGATGAAACTTGTGTATTTGATTGCTCGAGGTGTAGCTCAAAGTGCACTGCACTTTTTCTGACAAGGCTACTGAAGATACTCAACTCTATCTTAATATATTTGCTACTGGCAGTGCAGACAGAATAGATCACTTGTAGAGACCTATTTTTGTAATGGTAGAAGTTTTGGATTTTAAGGGTATTTTGTCAAAGTACTGAAATAAAGATGACTTCATCCTTTTAACTGTTGTTTCAGGTTATTTTATGAAAAGAACCATTTCTTCTGCACACTATTAAAGGGTAACTATACCCTAACTCTTGCCAAAAAAAAAACCCCAAACACTCACTACCTTTCTTGTTGGTTTCAGTTTCAACGGTAGGCAAGACGAGAATTCATGGTAACTACCAGAGAGCTGCTGCCTGGGGAAGAAGCCCAGATTAGCATGATGTTTAATAAATGATAATTGGGCATTAATTTTATTCTGCCTCTAGGCAAGTGGAGTTTCTGAAGGCAACAGCTTGCTAGATAAGGGCTTCATTTTATATTAGCATTTTAAATGGGGATGTGCTAGTTCATGAGATTTTTCAATTTGTTGTGGCCCCAAAGTTTTGTTATGTAACAGCAGTGTTATGAACTAGAGCCAGCCTGATCCTATTTATCCATCATTTATTAAAAAGGAAGTTTTAAAGTAGTCAGTTAAGAGCCCATATTCTATATTTTTCTGAAAGTCTGGATAGTGTTGTGAGCAAAGGAAACTATTTCACAAAGTTTAGAAATTTTAATGACAAATTTCTGCAAGTCTCAATTAAAGGTACTTTCCTCCACACAAGTATAACGTTTAACAGTCCTGAAATAAGTTACCCATTTCCATGTGAAGAGAGCTGGACAAGCACTGACCTGTTTTAAATTGGGAGAAGAACCTTAACTAACTGTGCCTCTTTTTGGACAGCATCAAGTCTTGGCCCACACTGCCAAGATTTAATAGTAAAGAGCAGCAGCAGATATTTTTGTATACCCCAAACAGCAGGGCTGTGCCTAGACTGGCCAGTTTTTCCAGAAAAACGTGCCAGCTGTCTACACTGGCCGCTTGAATTTTCGCAAAAGCACTGACTTCCTACTGTAAGAAATCAGTGCTTTTTGCGGAAATACTATGTTGCTCCCGTTCGGGCAAAAGTCCCTTTTGCGCAAAAGGGCCAGTGTAGACGCTGAGATTTGTTTTGAGCAAAAAAGCCCCAATAGCGAAAATGGCGATCAGGGCCTTTTTCTGCAAAAACGCGTCTAGATTGGCCACGGATGCTTTTCCGCAAAAAGTGCTTTTGCAGAAAAGTATCCGTGCCAATCTAGACGCTCTTTTCCAAAAATGCATTTCCAGAAAATCATGCCAGTCTAGACATAGCCCAGATGTCTAAAAAATTATACAGTACTGCTATACAATACCTATACTTCCCTATGTCTTGTAAGCACTAGAAATCCTACTATACTTAATATAGTAGTACACTAGTTATTTTATTCACTTTCTTTACTACACAATGAACACAATTAAAGAGACAGGGATACACAGCTGGCTTATTCTGTTCACTCTAAGTCAGGCTTTGTAAGGTTTTACTGCCAATCTCTGCACTGAAACAAACACTTCCAGGTGTGACTAATTATTTTGGGTACCCAATTTTAAAATAGAACTAATTTTCAAAGTCTGGTTAGCTAGGTATTCTCTGAAAATCCAGACCCTTCAAAATTGCCTTGAGATGAGCACCCTAAGCACCTGTCACATAAGAAAAATCTTAACGTTTTCAGTATTTTAAAAATTAAAGCCATGGCAATTTTTGGCTCATTCATTAAAATGCTGAATAATTCATTATATAAAATGTGTTCACTTCTGCAAGCACATACAAGGCTGCAAAGTGAGCATGTTCCAAATTGTTCACAATTACAATTTAAACTTATAAAAAAGTATTAAATCCTCAGCTGTCCTAAGATTTGACAAAACAGTTAGGTTCACCTTTATCAATATGCAACATCCACCTTAAAATTGTTACACAAGTAGAAAAGACAGTATTTTTATAATATTTTAAGTCAGAATGTACAGTATTTGCAATGTACAATTTCACATTTTATGGTTCTAGTAACAACTTTCATAACACAACATTTGGATCCAATGAACCAGCTTTTCTATTAATTATTTAATTTTATCATAACTTATTTAAGAAACAGTAATTTTCACAATTTAAATACAGAAATCATCTCAAAATTAGCATGATCGCTTCTTGTATCTGATAACTGGCTTATCAGGCGTGTGAATCATGGTTGTATAGTTGACAGTAGGAAAATATCCATTGATGAGATCAAATTCATATAAACGAAGCAAAGTAGACCAAATAGTCTTAATCTGAACGTAAGCAAAGTTTTCTCCAATGCAACGATGACGGCCTAGAGGAAAACCCACAGAGGGTAATAGTTATTGCACTTCATAATGCACCTTGAACTAAAATACTACTTTAAGAATTTGCTTTAAATATACACTAGTTTCTTTCATTATGTTTAAACAAATGTCATTATGGCACCACTTCAGCAAATCACTTAAACATAATGTACATGCTTAATTCCTACTGATGTCCGTGTTTGCACTTAACTATTAAAGCATTGTTTTGATATCAAACTTTAAATGCAATCCAACTTTCACAGCTGCAAATATCTAATTATCTACTAGGAATGTGAAAATGTAACCATGTACATGGTTAACCAATGAGCCTGGTTACATGCAGGCTCCTAGTATTTGTGGGCAGCCAATTTAAAAGCCAGATTCTGGGAACCCACCTGCTCCCCTCCACTGCTGCCTCTGCATCAGGGGGAGCAGCAGGTGGGAGTCACCATCAGCTCACCATGCGCACCAGCTCCCCAGGAGTGGACTACTGCCTTGCATGTAACCACTGACATTTTCAGCAGTTATACAGTTAAATACATTTTAACATTCCTACTCATCTACAGAACAGAATCTGCTCTAGTTTCTTGGCAAAAAGCTGAATTAATTCGGCATTAAGGGAGAACACATACATTCAAAAGTTGTTCCCAGGTCAGCCATAAAACTTTCCTTTGTTGAATGTTATGTGCAATGATTTAGTTATTGTTGCCATAAGAATTAATTCTTCAGTGAACACGGTGTAGTTTTTTCCCTTGACAATAAGGGAACAACTTGAAAGTCATTCCTGTCTAAAGAGTCCTTATTATTCCAAAGCAACAAGTAAAATTATATTAACTGAAATAGAAGACAAATACTGCTTACTTTATGCTTTAAGCTGCACATTTATTGTCAGTTTCACTTTTTTTTCCTTGTCTGATAAGTCTCCCATTTGAGAGACTCTTTCAAAGCAACAAGAGATAGAAACTCAAAACTTTAGGCAGTGTCAACATAAAACCACATGAAGTGACAAGGACTCCAGTGTTGTACCAGAAAATACTTTAACTGGACTAGATTTCAAACTGACAAAATTGCCTTTAGTTTAAGAGTAAAAGTAGCACTGGGGTAACAGATATTTAAATTACTAATATGCAGCTATGTTATCAGAGACTTTGTGCAATTCCTTACTCTTATCATTAGACTTACCAGCACCAAATGGCACATATGCAAACTTCTCTCCAGCTGCAGGGTTATCTTGGAGGTAACGGTCAGGTTTGAATTCTAAGCTTTCTATCCAAGAATCCTTAAGTCTGTGATTAACAGTGGGAGATACACAAACCTGATGGCCAGGAGGAACAGTAAAGCCGGCAACAGTCTATAAAAGGGAGGGGAGGGGGAAATACTGTTACAAAAAGCAATTCTCTGTTTTCCCTCCTACAAAAGTTCTCCAAAGTGGCATCCTCAACTTGGCTTATAGAAGAAATTTGTTTAGCTGAACAATAAAACCTAACTCATTTGGAATATTATGTTCAAATCTCATCACCAATGGTCAAGAAAGATTAATTCAGTTGAAATAAGTGTAGAGAAGAGCTATTACAAAGATACTGGGAATGGAAAACGTATGAGAGAGACTAGAAGAGCCTGGCTTGTTTACTTTGGCAAAATAAAGGCTGAAAACAGTTATAAATAGTTATTTACCCTTGGTGTATTTATAAAGGACAATGCTGGCATAAAATAAATGAGTATAAACTGGCCCTAAATAAATTTAATCTGGAAATTGGAAGATGATTTCTAACTATCAGATGAATGCGGTTTGAAAATGGCTTTTCAATATGAGTTGGAGGAGCAAACCACTTAACTAGTTTAAAGATGCAGCTTGATAAATTTATGAATAGTAGTACAGATTAGGTTGTCTGCAGTAGCAGAAGACTCAATGATCAAAGAGATCCTATGTTCCTAACTATGCAAGATGCCATATTCAGATCGTGTATGTTAACAACATAACTGAGTGAGCCATTTCCCCATCACAATGAAGTATTTAAAAAAAAAGTATAACTTTCCAGTTTGTGAAAACGTGTTTCATATTAGTCACTATGCCACAGTGAATATACTTTCCAGAATACTTTGCTCCCAAACTAGCATCTTAAGTACCGCAAATGTATTTAGAATATAGTACTGAAATGTAGCTGTTAAGTAAATTTAAAGACAAAACGTGAACTGCCAGCACAGTGTAGCATTTACAGTGAGACAATTAAAGTATGTGATCAACTGGCTAATATACTAAGAACCATCCATCAAAAACTGCAGGCTATAAAACGAAACTATCAAAATTGAAAGAAGTAAAAAAAATAAAAAAACAAAGTACGAATGAAAAGTAGCACTGCCACCCTTTACGTGTTTCAAATCATTTTGCAAATTTTCAGAGCCCTCTTAGTAATTATGCCCCACAGTAGTAGTTTATTATTATTATTACTACTACAGTTTACTCATCTTTAAATTGTTTCACTCAGCCCTCACTGACTGAAGACAAAATCTGGAAAGATGCAAATTGAGGTAAAATACTGACACTACTACTGTGCTGGCTCCCTTCAAAATATGAGACTGTGACCCTTGCTATACTATACGTGTCACATGAGCAAATGCTGAGCAGATGCTGACACAGAAAGGGAGCACAAAGACCCACCTACTGAAGAGGTTTCTTACTCACAAACGTTCTGTAGTATCTTTATGTGGAATGTTTTTTTAATTAACTAG